TTTTTTTAAATAATGTTTTAAAAAGAACACCTTTATTTGGTGATTTTGTAATCAAAATAGAGATTTAGATATTTAAATCTCATATAAATGAAACTTAATATCACTCCCTCTCTCTATATATGAAATTAAATAACTAAGCTTAGTAGTTTAATGTTAGTTATTTAGGATGGTTATTACTTTTTTGTTACTCTAGGACTCTAAACTTTATTTATTAGGCTAACCTCTCATTCATTTATCGTTTAAGGTCTGTGGTAGGCCTATGGTCTTATCATCATTTCGACACAAGTTGTCATGATTTTAGTAACCAATATTGTTACACCGCTAAAGTGACATATCATTTACCTTCGTATCTAAGTCCGTGGTATGACGCAGGATTCAGGCTACGCTGGCCGTTGCGAGTCTGTGTAGTTTGCCAATTAATACGCTGCCAACCATTGCATTTCTGTCGTGAGTCCACGCAACATGTTTGCCTTTTAACGTCTGTCCAAATTTTCCTACATGACAATTCCAATGATAGTCGCAGTAACTAACATTCGCGATAAATTCTAATAATCGGAATCACCTCAACCTCCGCCGCCATTTTGACCTCTGGGGCATGCGCAATACATCGGTAAACGGAACCATCCATTGTGACAAGAGGGATAAGAGGAAATCTTTTGTACTTAATTGCGAAGGTACATAATGTAAACAGATTACTACATAATGACAAAAGACGTATTTTTGCGTTAAGTAGTACTTAAGTGCAAAAGATTTTCACTTAAGTGAAAAAGTTTTTGCAATTATGTGATTTTTTGCCATTATGTCCAGTTTTTTTCACTTAAGTGTAAATCTTTTGCACAAAAGCTTTTGCACTTAAGTAGTTTATGTATTTTATCCTTAAACGGCCGCCCATACTCGGCCAGGGTACAGAACCCAAAGCCTTCTTCACAGTGGCGAACGCTCAACAAATGGCCAAAAGTGAGGCATTGTCAAGGGAGACATTAGGAAAAAGAAAGTTACTGAGAATCAGCACCGACCAAGAGGGTTATCTTTCACCAGGGTCTAGGTCAGCGAAGGGGCTATGTCTGAAGATCATCATGGAGGCCAAGGTCGGCGGTTTTTTTTTGTTTGTTTGATTTTGTTTAACGTCCTATTAACAGCTAGGGTCATTTAAGGACGGCCTCCCCTGCAAGATGCATGCGTGGGGTCTTAAAAGCGTCTTCAACCGACAACAAGCGTCTTCAAGTGACAACAAGCGTCGCCAGACAAAATCTTCAAAAATACTGAATAAAGTAAGCGACATCAGAAGATATGTTATTAATATGACAATAATACACCTCTGTACCAAATTTCAATTTGATATTTGAAAAATTGACCGAGTTATGATGAATTGAATTTTTACGATCGCGGCGTGGCACATATGTGTATTAGCTTGAAAAGTGTAGAAAGCGTCGCCAGATAATATCGTTACAATTACCCGCTAAAGTAAGCGACATCAGAAGATATGTTATAAGTTAGGCTTTTATTGATATATATTCCAAATTTCAGCTCGATATTTGAAAAAATGATCGAGTTATGATTAATTTATTATTACGATCGGCGGCGTGGCATACGTGTGTGAATAGAACTCGACATATGAAGAAGCGTCTTCAGAACATATCTCTAAAATTCATCGATTAAGTAAGCGACATCAGAAGATATGTTATTCATATAACTATGATACACCTTCATACCAAACTTCAGGTAGAAATTTTAATAAATGACCGATTCATGATGTTTTTGATTATT